TCCGATGTTTGAAAAAGCGCTGCATAATCCGATGCTCACGAGGTATGGTTTGGCCTCAACCATATTGGACAAGTCGTCCGGTTTCTCGCATGTTGCTTGACTTAAATCTGCGAGGTCAGGGGTTGTGAAGGTCAAGGTCGTCTTTCTAAGGCGCGGCTAATGGCGACCGCGACAGTTTTACATTTTTTACATACCTTTAACTCAAAGCTTATTGCAGGTCCACATCTCAAGACTATCTATGATTCCTATATATCAGGCCTACACAATTAAAAAAAAATGAGAAGGGTCTCGTGAAAATTAGCTGTCGCCTCATGAGTAAATTTATAGAGAAAAATTACAGATTGAAAAAAAATGGCGCAAATGCATCCCAAACAAAATATATGCAAAAAAAAAAAAATATTAAAAATAGCTGAATAAAGTCATGTCACCACAAATCTGAATTTTTCCTGCGCAATCAGTCGCCAAAATTCTGATGTTTACAAAAAAATTAACTATTTTGAAAAGCGCAGGCTTTTAAAACAATTCATTATTTAATAAAACATGACAATTAAAAAAAAATCAATTAATAATTGTAAATAAACAAATAAATAAATAGTATAATGTTCTAGGTTTGTTTTATACACGTACTTTTTACGGAAATGTATTTTAAAGAAAGCCAGATGATTTGTGAAAAAGATGATGTTTGTAAAATTTTCTATTTTATAAAATATATTTTATATATATAAAGAACCGACGAAATTATTTCAGTTAATTGGCTTGTTATGAAAATTAATTAAATTAAAAAATACAGTTTCTATTTAGTATCCAATCAAAAGCGTGGGTTTACGTCCACGTAAATTTGAAGTTAAAGTCTTATGGAATTAACACATTAATTCCATTTATATTTTACGCGCGCGCGAGTCCTCCCTTCCTTTCACACTCGTGCGTGTGTGTGCGCGTGTTTTCACCCCTACCTTCCACTCACAGCTAGACATAAAGTAACCTCGCTAGCTCCTACTGATGAACTCACAATAGGTTTTGAATTTTTTCCCGCGCGTTTTTCGGCGTCTCAAAACTGCTAGCGTTTGCAAGCAGTTGCCTCTCGACTTTCGACCCGACTAGATGGGCAACTCATTTATTCCGTGCCCTTAACCCATATGCGGGCCGGAATATCTTATTTCAACAATGGCGACTTCACACTCTACCAAGACTTCTTCTCGTCTTGAAGCTAATCGCAGGTCAGACCTTCTCCGTTTTCTACCAGAAGACGTTAGAGACACACGACACGGTCGTGAGCAAAACTTCGTATTCGACTAATAATGGCTTATTTTTATCCCTAGTCAGCGAACCAATAAATACAGACAGGGATATCCTACTGACGAACAACTTGCTAATCGCAGATCAGACCTTCTCCGTTTTCGACCAGAAGACGTTAGAGACACGACACAGTCGTCGGCAGAAACTTCGTATTCAACATGTAACCAATAAAACCACCAAATAATTAATTCTGCGTCCTTTTGGCTCGTCATTCAAAAATTCTTCTACGAGATGATGCATATACCAAATAATTAACTTTTCGGCCCTTTGTGACTCGTCATTCAAAGTCCTTCTCCGAGACGATGCAGAACATACAAAATATTAATCCGTCGTCCCCTTTGGGCCTCGTCATAAATCTGTTTTGAACCAGTACAAAAAAAAAAAAATATATACATAACATTTCACTCACATTAGCCAAAACTCGCAGTGAGTATTTTTTCCTTGTATGTATATTATCATGTACATTGACTTATCTGGAACCTCCTTCTTCAAGAACTTTTCCCGCCTTTAGCCATCTTGTTTTCTACTTTTGGCGCGGAACTTTTTCATTGATCCCTACTACGGGATAATTTACTTGTTTTTCCTGCATTTAATAAAAATTACTCTTGTTGGAATCCAGTCTTTTTCTGTCATTCTGTGTCGGCTATCTTAATATATTTTATTTTATGCACTTGTTGATTGACCCCTTTCCTCTCACTGTTCATTCACGCACATATTTATTTTTTTACATTGCTTGTAGACTCGGTAGTTTAGTGTGGTGTCTGGCACAAGGCCACTTAGTAATAAACCAGCACTGCACGCTGCCGGGTCTGCAACAGTCTGTTTGGAGCCCCTTAGAAAAGAGCTAGCAGATAAGTTCAGAAATCAGAATGAAATTAAATTTGAAGGAAGAAGTGGAACATAAAAAAACTCTTCAGACAACAAAATACAAAACTGTAGATTTTGTTCATTCTCCCATTATCGTGGAAACTGCCCTGCATATGGACAGACCTGCAACAAATGCAAAAAACGGAATCACTTTTGCCAGCAGATGTCCTAGAAATAGATCAGTACACAGAGTGGACCATGATGATAGTGATTTTTTCCTCCACGGATGATGATAAATACAAAATGTTTTGTAGATTGTATCTCTCTAAATCCTCTGCCACTAACAAAAAAGATATAAATAACTACAAAATTAATGCCTCATCTGAAGACTGGAACGTCAATCTGAAGTGAACGGGACAGACATAGTATTTAAAATAGATTCAGGTAGTCAAATAAATATTCTTCCCACAAAGGATTACGAAAGATTAGCAAAACGTCCAAACCTAAAATCAACTGGTATAACACTATCTGCGTACAACAACACATCCATTCCAGTTCAAGGCAAATGTATTGCGCAGATCATAAAAAACAATTTGAAGCATCATGTGATGTTCATTGTGGCTGACATAGATGCATCTCCCATACTTGGACTGAAAACCTGCTCTAATCTCAACCTTATCAAGAGGATCTGCAAAATCAATACTAACAAGATTGATTTTTTCTCCGAATTTAAGGACTGTTTTGGTGAACTCATATATGGAACACTCCCGGGTGTTCATCACATTACTATGGATCCCGATATCAAGCCGGTCATAAACCCTCCTAGGAACATTCCCTTTGCACTGAAAAAAAACTAAAACAAGAATTCAAACGAATGACTGAATTAGGCGTCATTACCTCAGTGACGGAACCAACAGAATGGGTATCATCACTAGTAGTGGTGGAAAAACCCAAGCATTCTCTCCGTATATGTCTCGATCCACGGAATCTCAACAAGGCCATCAAAGAGAACACTACAGACTACCAACTGCATCGGACATAATCCACGAAATGGCAGGTGCAAATTTTTCACCAAGTTAGATGCATCCAATGCATTTTGGCAAATTAAAGTTGATGAGGAAAGCTCCAAACTTCAAACTCTTCAGACACTTCAACTCACCCTATGGACGATTTAGATTCACACGGATGTCTTCCATACGGCATTCATAGCGCTAGTGAGATATGTCATGCGAAAATAGCATCCATTATTGAACAGATTGAAGGATGCAGAAACTCACAGGATGATATCATTATTTGGGCAGACACTCCAGAAATACTAAAAAAATAGAACCATTGCGGTTTTGAATGCCATAAGAAAATCAGGCATGAAATTAAATCAGTCAAAGTGCCAGTTCAACATAACCGAGTTGACATTTCTAGGGCACAAAATTTCCAGTCAGGGAGTCGAGCCTGATGAAAAGAAAATGCAAAGCGATAAGAGACATGCCAGACCCATCAACTGGGCAGACAAAAACAGAACTCCAACGTTTCTTAGGCATGATAAATTACTTAGGCAAGTTCATTCCAAATTTGTCAAATGAAACTGCACCTCTTCGTCTCTTATTGGAAAAAGACAACATGTGGTCTTTTGACAAACCACAGAGAGAAGCAATTCAACGACTCAAAAACTTAGTTACGCAGAGTCCAACATTGAAATACTTTGACCCGGCACTTCCAATTAAAGTGTCTTCTGATGCTTCAACACTAGGACTTGGAGCAATGTTAGAACAAAAACACAATGACAATTGGGCTCCAATAGCATTTGCTAGCCGCTCTCTCACACCTGCTGAAGCCAACTATTGCCCCCTTGAACTTGAAATGCTGTCCATAGTATTTGCCTGTGAACATTTCCACGAATTCTTGTATGGACAACGTTTCATAGTAAACAATGATCACAAACCTCTAAAATCCATTGTCACAAAACCCATTGCAAAAAGCACCCCCCTAGAATACAACGTTTCTTAATGCGTCTACAGAAGTATGATTTTGAAATTGCATACACTCAAGGCAAACTAATGCATGTTGTTGACACACTCAGCCGTGCAGCACAGAAAAAGAACACACCAGAAATCTCTGACAGAGAAATGAACTTTTTGTCCATTCCATAATGTCCTCCATACCCATCAGTGACAAACGTCAACAACAGCTCACAACTGAAACAGCGAATGACCAAACGTTACAGCAACTGCAACATCAAATTATGATTGGATGGCCACAACATCGACACAACCTGCACCCTTGTCTTCACCCTTATTTCAATTACCGAAATGACTTAACGCGCTATAAGGGGCTGGTAATGAAGGGTTCACAAATTGTTGTACCACTCAGTATGCGTGCAGAAATGCGCAGAATTCTGCATCAGGCGCATTTAGGAATTGAAAAAACTAAATCTAATGCCAGGAAGGCTCTTTTGGCCGAACATGAACAAAGAAATCGAAGATATGGTAAAAATTGTGATTCATGTCAACGATATAGCAACCGACAAAGTACAGAGCCACAGATTCCACATGACATACCAGACCAACCCTGGCATAAGGTTGGCACAGACCTCTTCAGACTGTAAGGGAAGTACTACCTCATGGTAGTGGACTACTACTCGAAATTTTTGAAATAAGTTTACTCCATAATACAACAGCACTGACGGTGATTAATCAGACAAAAACATCTTCGCTAAACATGGGATACCCAAACTAATAATCTCTGACAATGGCCCTCAATTTAAGTCAAGTGAATATAAAAAATTTGCCACTGAATGGGATTTTTCCCATGTAACTAGCAGCCCAGAATATCCACAGTCCAATGGTCTAGTGGAAAGGACTATCCAAACAGTGAAAAAAACATTGCATAAATGTTTCCAGACAGGAGATGATCCATACCTTGCGCTACTAACGTTGCGTACAACACCTGGCAAAGACAACTCTCCTTCACCGGCAGCTAGGCTAATGAATCGCCAACTGAGAACACTGCTACCAATCATGAGAAAAAATAATCATGATCATCAAAAGGCAAATCTAAATCACAGACAGACAGTACAATATAATAGCCATCAACGTGAGCTAACTCCTCTTAAGATTGGTGACCAGGTCCGTGTTCATGATGGTAAAACTTGGTCCAGGAAAGGAGTAGTGACTGAACGTTGCTCCCAACCTAAATCATACATAGTGCTGACGGAGAATGGTAGAAGTATACGCCGAAACCGTCGACATATACTGCAAGTACCCTGTTCAAAGACACTACCATCACAATCATATCCTGATACAATATTCAGCGCAACCAGACAACCTCATCTACCTAATTCACGTGAACCATGTCCAGCCGTTTCAGAATCAGGAGTCCGAACCAGATCAGGACGACTAATACATCAACCTCGATGGATGCAGGATTTTACAAAGTAAAGAAATTGTATCCTCAATAATAAAGAACTTGGGAGGGGGGATGTTATATGTATACATACATGTGTGTGTATATACACATACACATGTATATTAACTGCGGACAGAATGGGAACTAGAACTTCCGCCGGAAGGCGACTTCCTGTAAAATGTCTTAAGGAAATAAATGTATGTTCTTGCACTCCTATCTTCATCTCTCTTTTCTAAGTGCAGCGAAAATCATCGCCGACTCATCTTAACTCCAGTTTACGAAGAACTAATACGTGCACGGTAAGACCGAATCATTTTACTTCTTTGTTGACTGTAAACCTTATTTACTCCACGTTGTCTATGTGTCGATCGGCGAACACAACACTATTCAACACAATTACATACCCACATATATACCATATTAAAATACTCCCCAAAACATACCTAAAAGATTCCCCAGCACAACACACACTGTTTAAATCAAAGTGTCTATTGGTTACAAATTAACATCGCCATGTGAAATGTTTGAACAATCAGGGAAGACTAAAGCTAAACCTATTTTTCTCAAACCTACTTTTGAGAAAGTTTTTTTTTAAATAAAACCCCACAGATTTCGACTTTCAAGAGGAGAGAAGAAGCGGTTGTTTTTAAATCGAACAGCAGAAGAGAGACCGAGCCGTTCAAACAGGAGAGACGCGACTCTCTCCCCACACCGCCTGCTGAAAAAAAAATGTGTCGGTGACTTGAAACGAATCAGCGACAACAGCTTGGCCGGACAGTGAAGAAGCTTTCTTTGACTGCCTTTCGGTAACTTCTGACAAATTGTCTCCAAAGACTGTCAGTGAATTTTCGCTAATGATAAAAGTCTTTTTTCAACCACCGCGTTTTTTTATTTTTTTTTTATTTAAAGTTTTGTCTAAACTACAGCCTTTTCAGTGAACACACTGCCCAAAGACTATTTTTAATACTTTTTAACTCTTTCGAATTCATGTACATATGTTTGTAAATACAAATGATTTATTTAACAGGCATCCAAGGCCCTACTCTGTTCCTTATCTTCATCAACGATCTTCCTGATGTCATAGTTTCCCAAGTAGGCATCTACGCGGACGGCATTACTAATTTAATCCTGCCTCAAAAACAAATCTAGTGTCGTTGACAAAACTAACCTGGACATAATGCCTCAAAAACAAAACTGCTCTCTACTACTCACCACAAAGAACCATCCCCCCCATTAGAATGTCTGACGCTCAGCTCCACGAGAGCACCTCTTTGCGACTACTCGGTCTCACATTGACTGCTGACCTGAGATGGTACAAATACATTAAGTCAATAGCTTCGTCCATCGCAAGGAAAGTTGGCTCCCTGTGCCGCGCCAGGAAATTTTTCTCGCCGGAATCGATCCTCCAGATCCACAAATCAACCATTCGCCCTTGCATGGAGTATTGCTGCCATATATGATCTGTAGACCCTTTTGTTTGTCTCAAGGTTCTTGATGAAATCCAGAGACGGATATGCAATGTAATTGGCCCTGATCTGGCATCTCGTCTGCAGTCGCTCTCTCACAGACGTGCCGTAACCCCCCCTCTGCCTTTTATTACAAATACTTTCACAGTAACTGCTCCGATGAGCTGCTTTTGCTGGTTCCCAGACTCCATGAATTTAAGCGTTCAACCAGGCTAGCATCTTGCTCTCGCCCTTTCACTGTCGAAACTGTTAAATGTAGCCGTTTCTTCTACTCCAATAGCTTCATGTCTCGCACTTCTCGCCTGTGGAACTCCCTCCTCTTTTCCCGTTTCCCTGATAGCTATAATCTCCAACTATTCAAATGTAATGTCAATCGACGTCTCCAGATGATTTGATCTATCCCTTATCCTTCTCTTCATCCTTTCCTCTATCACTCCTCTTTGTTCTCGCTCCAACTCTCTGTGACCCCTTACGTGCTAGTGGCTTCCCGCCTTGCTTTGGGTGAAACGCTTAAAAAAAAATACCAATGTTTTCTTTATTTTTATTTCATTATTGTTCGGAATTCGGACGTTCGAAAGTACTTGTGGGTTATCTGTAGCTACTTTTTATAAAATTAGATGTGGTATTTTTTTTTCAGATTACTAAATGAATCTTTGTGACGTTTCAAGAAATGAAAAGGACGCTGTTCGCCTGCTTCAAGATAAAAGCCAACTGAGAAGCACTGCAAAAATGGCCATCCAATAAAGCTCTACTTCGGTTCCAGAATCTATTGGAGATGTAATACAAAGAACTGCAAGCAGCAAATTGGACTCCGTACTGGAAACTGGCTGTCAACCCACCCCTCAACGTGGTCACTCTGCTTCGCCTCATATACGCCTGGTACTGGGAAACATCCTCTTCAAATGGTACGAGGCGAAAACTGGGAATAGGGAATAACTGTGTGATCGACTGGAACAATTACATACAGTGACGTGCAGAGGTTTGGTGATGTCCGGGGCCAACTCCTTGACTAAAACTCAAATGGAGTGGTGGTGGTTCATAGGGTCTAATACCTAGAAATGTGAGAAAGGAAGAAATTATTTTAAATATGTAAAAAACTGATGTAATATGAAATAAACACTTTATTCAAATTACAGTGTAACCCGGATATAAGAGACCCTGATATAAGAGAAACCCGGATATAAGAGAGATTTTCTCTGGTCCCAAATTAGAGCCTGTGTTAATGTATATAAAATAGACCAAACCCGGATATAAGAGAAACCCGGATATAAGAGACTTCTTCTCCGGTCACGACAACTCTCTTATATCCGGGTTACACTGTAAATATAAACTAAATTTTTATTTCACTCTTTGATTGGATACCCCCCCGATATGGATGCCTAGGGCCGTCGCATTCTCCACCCTCTTCTGCACGCTACTGATTATATGAGAGAGATATACGACAACCTAGCCAAACTACAGTAATCGAATATAATTTAAGAAACACATAGTATATTTTTACACATCTGTATTTGTGAAAACGTTGTAAAATTAATTTAAAAAGTGGCGACGGATAAACCACAAGTACCCGGATATCGGAATTTAATATAGACCTGCTCCTACACGTCATTTGTAATGCGGTCTACGTTTTGGAAGGTCTCGGTGATTTTATAGCATATTCTATTGCTTGGATTCTTCGCTGTAATTCTCCTGTTAATGTCCATGATTCCCAGACGTACAGAAAGACTGAGACGGCAAATACGTGCAACAGTCTAAATTTGAATTTCAAGCAGATGTTCTTCATTTTCCAGATGGTTCTTAGTATTGCAGCAACTGTCATTGCTTATACTTCTCTTTCTATTCTGGAATTCTCTTCACTGATAAGCGAGCCAAGATGTTTGAATTGTCTATTTTAAGTTCCTTACCATCGACTTTAAATCTTGGTTAAATGCCTTTGCTTATTGTTTATCATGAGTGTTTTCTTTTCCGTATTAATTTGAAGGATGTTTCATCCAGAATCACCTGGATTATAACCTATACTAGTGCTCAAGGCGAAATGTTTGTTGTTTTAATGAAGTGATGTTTGAAGCGGTTTGATAGTTTTCAACCGCTTTAGCTAACAAGTATTAACCGCATCGTAACTCCTGCTACACAGTGGTCCCTCGCCAAATTTGGGGCCATGTCCCACTTTGGTATTTCTAAAATTCTGGTACCTGTCCTTGTAATATTTAATTCTTGCGTATATGCCAATTACACATGTACGTACATACACACAAAATATTTTTTTATGTATGCATATTGTATGTGCATCGTATGTATTAACACGCAGTAACATTAACATTCTCACACCAACTCACTAGAAAACAACTCACTGGTAATAACTCATTCTCAAATTGCTCTCTTTTTTTTCTGTTGGCATAGTAAGCCGAAGGGTGCACATCCTACACATGCTCCACCAAAATATTACTATACCCTACCGGTTGGTCCTGCGCCCCACGTTGAGAATCATTGTCCTACAATGAACGGGTAACTGCATCCATTCCAAACTGTAGTGGACCGTGGCTGTGATGTTGTTGAGTAGAAGTAGAAGAAACACATGTGGGTTCAGATTTTCCTGCTAGCTGGTCCAACTACACGAGAAAGTTGGACTTTTAATTAAGCCTAAAAGAAGGCAAAGAAAAACAAACACAAGACCAATAATATATGTATACAAATATATATATTAATAACAAGTTACATGGAAACAGTTACAAAGGACAAAGTGTGTGTGTGAATATTATATATGTGCGTGTGCGTGTGAATATTATATATGTGCGTGCGTGTGTGTGTGTGTGTGTGTGTGTGTTGTGCTTAGCGTGTTCCCAGCATTTTTGGAAACGCTATCTCTGGTGAGCGTTCACATGTTCGAGGTAATACGGCTGAAAGCCTGAGGAAAAAGAGAGATTTACCTCCAGGTGTCGGCGCAAAAGGCCTGAAGAAAAAAAGAGGAAGAGACGAAGGGTCAGCGACTATTTATAGCCAGGGAAGAGAGATCCCTGGTGAAAGGGTTAACGAACTGAAGGAGGAGGTAACTCCGACAAAACTCAATTACGGTTATCAGACCGAGAAATACTGGAATAATAATAATAATAATAATAATAATAATAATAATAATGAAATCTCGAAAATGTGGCATATGGGAACATCAACAATCCCTGTTGTAGTTGGAGCCCTAGGACTGGTTGGAAAAGATTGCAGTAGACTAATTGAAGGGATTCCTGGAAGTCCATACCTGAAGGAGATACAAAAAATTGTTCTGACAAGTACAGCCCACACTTTACGAAGGGCTTTATCTATGTAATTTTTTTTTTTTTTTTTGTTAGTGGAAAGTGTCATGATGCCATTTCTAACCTTAGGTCCCTGGGCAGGACCCGGAAAGAAATGTGTAAACGCCAGAAATCAAAGAAAATAAAAATAATAATAATAATATTTTCTAGCTTTTAAGCGTGGAAGGTCGGTATCTTAACGTGTTTTTTTAACTTACCGAGGACCACAGTTTGAGTTGACCGGCTCAAACTATTGATGTGGTCTGTTCTCAAATCAATCAC